AATGTTCGAATTGCTGCACGAATCTGACAAAAAGCACTCATTTATTATGCGTATTTGCATATTTACGCAGAAGCAAAAATACATTGTCGAGAAGTTGCCGAAGTACGTGTGTGTTCGGATTTTTGTTACTCATATTCAACTCAGTAACCACAGAAGCTACGATGTTGAAATTTCACAAGGATGTCCGGGGTCCACATGCTGTCCAAACAGCTTGAAATCAACGTTCACGTACACTTGGGTTAAACTGGACAACTATTACCACGTTTGTTTCTAGTGTAAATTTGCGTGCCGAAACATTCCCATACCAAAAATTTTACTATCGTTTTTAATCGAAACGCTCTTCGCATTTTTAGGCCACATAAGTCTTTTTGAGGAGCTTACAGGATTCCAGATGACATCCATTTCCAATAAAATTTGACCCTTTGTTGGAGATCGTAATTTACGGTCCTTCAGCACGTACCATTTTGATTCACAGTTTCGAATCTGGAAGAAATACGTCTTCAAAACACTCTACTAGTTTTTCTTACTGTCTGCTAAAGCAGAACCGAAATCCACAATCGGTTATTTTCAAAAAGCACCCCCCTCCCCTCTTCAGAACACACTCTCCAGGGCATTCGGATACAATTCAAATGGCAGCAAGTACCAAAAGATGTTGATGGATCCCTTTGCTAGAAGTTACTCAGAAGCAAACTACAGGTTTGACTTCCTGACAAAAGCCAGTACCAATATGCCATCGAAATGAATGAAAGAAACTTAGAAAGACTGATTGTTTTACTGGCATCATTGACTGTTTTCGGCATTGAAACACATCCGCCATTTGTTATAATTTTTAACATATTTTGTTTTAATAGAAATGTGATTAGTGGGGCCATCAATTGGCTGTTTAGATTGTTGGAAGCAAATAACTATGTAAAAATATGGCAGAAATTTGGTTACCTGCAGCAAGGGAATTTCAACTTTGCCCAAAAATTCCGCTTTTTTGCTGGCATCTTCGTCATAAACGGTGATTTCGAGAGCCGTGTGTATATCTTTTACTGCACTAAAATGTTTGATAATCAAATAATAGGTTAATTAAACAAGTTAATATGACCTCACAGCAGAACATTCAGTGAAAAAAACTAGTAAAATGGATATGATGGATTCGTCGGAAACAAAGTCTCTTCTACAAGGAAGTATAAGTCGAGACGGGGCAAACTCTTTTTCTTTATTATTTCTGTATGCTTCGACGTGCCGTGTTTTAACTGCTGCCTGAGTAACATGATAACAAGTGTAGCGAAATTTTTGATTTCTATCAACTCTTTGCGGGAACTTTACATCAGCCTTTCTTTAGAATAGCGAATTCAAATTACAAAAAAAAAAATGTTCTGCAAAGAAGACCCATTCGCAAAACAGCATCCAAAAAAATCTGCACCAAATGATAAGTGTTTTCTAGATTTGGAACGTACAAAGTGAAAAGTTTGTTCCACTCTGGATTGACGGTTTTGTATTCAGTATGTGTCTGTAGCAGTGCATTTACCAGCTCCACCACAGCAAACGGGTTGCTCTTATTCATCGCATCCACAGGCGCCAAATTCCGAGCGCGAAACACTGCAAAAAACAATGGTACAGAACATATAATTTAATGCAGATGCACTTATTTGCTGGCTCAATTTCTCAAGGAAAAAAGCTTAACCCAAATTCTCCTACATTTCTCCACTCTTCACACTCTTCACTTCCAGTAAAGTGCTGAACAAATGTACCACTGTGCTGAAGAAAATGGCGAGCGGATGCGAGACATGGTGACTGATGAAAGCTGAACAAAGAGCGTAAGCTACGACAAAAAAGTGATGGAGCGAAGGATGCTTGGTGTTTCTCTTTGTGACCATATAAACAATCAGACTCTCCGTTAAACTGGGTGGTGTGTTGGACATCACTGCGATGAGGACGGCATGTTGTATGCCTTGCAGTCAGCAGATGAATGAAGCGTACTGGTGGGTGATACTTGCGAGAAAGTAGACGACTACTCGGAAGAAGTAGCGCGCACACATTAAGCGGGAGGTAGTACTAACTGGAGGCATGCAGCTCAAAATCGAAAAACCTGGCATAACTGCATTTGTGTGGGAGCATCGCAGTTACAATACTAATTTGGGATCCCCACATCGATTGTACAGATGATCTTGGTGTAAGCCTTTTCGGTCTAGTTCGTTTGAAAATACAATTTATTTACATTCGCTCTAATACTCAAATTACAATTTATGTACATCCGCTCTAATACTCAAATTACAATTTATGTACATTCGCTCTAGCACTCACCTTTGACAGTGAGAAAT